CCCTGCCAGGAAACTTATATTGGTGAAACGGAGAGGTCTCTAAAAGCCAGGTTTCAGGAACATACACGGCCTAGCTCTGCCAGTTCAGAGGTGTCTCAACACATTCACATACATGTAGAGTCACCCGGACACCATGTCTCACTTGACACTGTAAGGATTTTAGACACTGAACAAGACTATTTCTTGAGAGGGGTGAAGGAAGCCATTTACATCAGGGCCCATCACCCTACATTGAACCGCGACGGGGGCCGACATCGTCTACCAGATACCTTTGACCCAGTGTTGACGTCACACTTCAAAGAAGCCACGTGACAAGCTTCACTGGGTCAGTCTACTGAGGAAGACCAGAGTGACTGGTTGAAAGCTCTAGGTGAGAGAATTTTTGTGTTGGATCAAAAGTTTTAACTTTAAACATGTAACTACCAACACAGATGAACTTTCATGATGATCCATGATGTTTAAGTATGATTTGACAGACAACTAAACACACTGGACTTACATTACAAAATGCACTTCTTTCTCAATGAAATTTGTTTTAATGCTTTTCAATGGTCGCTGGCTTAGTGGAAAGGGGGATAAAGTTATAAGGATGCAGACCTTGTGAAGGGAAAGTGCAGGTCTTAGCTTACATGTAGAATTGGAGAACACATTTTGTTTATCCATACCATGCTATGTCAATCCTTCAGCAGTAGCCACTGAAAGCAATAGCCAAAATAGGGTATGATGCTCTAGCTTATAGTGTGCCAAATTAGTCTTGAGAGTTTTGCAACTTAATTAGAAGTTTAAAGTTCTAATGATTATTGTAAAGGACTTATAATGGATCATTGTAGTGTATTGCAGGAAATAGAATCCAAGAAGTGCTAGCTTTGTAGCATCCAGTACTTATAATTTGTATACAATGTAGTTTTATTCCAAATTGTGCCAGCTCATTGTAAAAGTATCAAAAAAAGCTGCAGAAGAGTCAAGAAACTTGAAAACACTTGGAAATGATCTACTGCATACTGAGATTGTGAAAGAATTACCAGAAAATATGCACATGATATTTTTAATAAATATTAAGTGACTACAGCATACTTTGATTAGTACTCATTTCACAAGACGGATGATTGCTACTACTCATCACCATTATTATAGGCAATTTTGCGTCATCATTTCAAACGATTAATAATGTACAAAATTCATACAAGCTTCAATTCCTTCCTGACTTATTTTCATACTGGTTCTGACAATTCCATGCAGTCAACCCTGCACAAGCACCCATCAGTTCAAGCTGACCACCTGACTATAACAACCACCTGTTTATATTTTGGTCCATACCATAGGTACAAAATGTATGGATAAAATATTTTTTTCATTATATTTCAGTCCATACCATTGGTATGGATGATAATTATTGTTTTCTCTCGTGTTTCTTCTCTCATTTTCGTTAAATGGATTCGATTTCTTCATTTTTAGGCCAAATGACCTGAAATTTGGCATGGTGTAATACATGTAGAATGGCCAAACTACATGTAAAATACCCCCAGCAATATACTGGTATTGTATTGCAAACAATAAAGCTGAATACAACTTTGCATCAAGCAGATTCACCTTTTGACAATATTTTGTTTGTACTAAATGTATGTTTCAATTAATAATAGTATAAAAAGCTTATTGTTTTGAAAAGTTGAGATGGTATGAAAACCCTCCAGTGGCCTCCACTGAGTAAAAATTTTCAAAAGACCGAGCCACACTGGTATTAAGTTGTAGTATTCTGTTTTACTGCACCCTCCTCGCGTTTTCTTCATTTTTGGATAAACCCACATAATAACTGAGTCTTACATGGCATACTTAGAACAGGTATCTACTGAGATATCTAACTTGTTAAAGGGGACAAAGGCATTAACACACATCTCCAACAACTGACAGAGACACTTTGTGTTTTATTCTTAGAAAACTAAAAATGTGACATGTAATTGATAGAATCCAACATGTTGGGACCATAGGATATACTACATGTAGTATCATAATATATAGTAGTAGCAGATATCGAAAAAAATTCATTTATTATCAAAAACATGTAATACATATTTCACTTGTTTCCATGGTCTTGAATGTCTAAATTGTAACTTACTAGAAGTAAACTAATTTATGCTTTCTATCAGAGCCTATGCTCCAAGAATAAGGTGTACACATGGTCTTTACCTACATGTATATAATATATTACAACACATTTTGATGGACCAAACAAACTGGGAGGTGGGCATCTGATCAGTTACATTGCACATTGCACAATTTGCTCTGTTACATGTACTTCAGAATCTGCTTCATTGTCTACACACTACTTTTTACGCCTCTTTGTGGTTGAAGTAAGCTTGTTTTGCAGATGAGGATTACAGCATGACAAAAGATTTCTAAATGATCTCAGAAATCTTATTTTAGATCATGAACTCACTAGTAGAACACTGCAAAGACCTGCTTTACCCTCCTACTGCAACATCTATTCCCCACAAAAATAAATGTATTTACAGTCAATAGGATTTAATAGTGGCTCTTTTATTTCTGATGGTCACACCAGGGAGTCAACTCTACGTTACAGTCTAGCTTGACATTGTAGATGGTTGCCACAGCGCCCTCTACCTGCATCTTGTGGGTACTGACAACAGAGTACTGCACAGTGTCCACACCAGTGATTCGATCTCTTCTGAACTGCAGCTGCAGAGATAAAACTGTTAGAATTTCTGCAATTTTCTTAAATTACCAATTCTTTTACCATGAGTAAACTGGACAGTGTGTGTGTGTGACAGTCAACTGCTATTCATCAGCAATTGTGCACAAAATTATGACTCATGATTTTGTGCACAATTGCTTATGACTGACGATTACATATTCCAACTACTGTCCCAGGAATACTACAAATGTACGACTGGGGATTCTCTACAAAATATGGGGCATAACTTAGATGATGGACGTTCCTAGTGAAGTATCCAACATTATGAAACTTGATACAAAATTCTGCTTCCTTTCAATGATAATATACCAATATATTTTACATGTACATGAACCATAAGAGACTGATACATGTACATGTATTGTGCTTCCTACTCTTTGATATCTATTCTCTTGATGTCCCTCTGCTGCTTTTTAAAGCTCCAAGCAGATGTGAAGGATCAGAATGTTTTCTTACTGCAGTACTTGTCAGAGAAAACATTACAGTTTTGTATTCCAACATCTGCTTAGAGATTACTCCGTTGCAAATACAACAAAAGTACTGTCTCTGCATAGCACTAGAATTGCAACAGCTACATAAATACAGCATTCAGAGAATGGTGAACCACATTGGCAATGATTAGGTCCTACCAGGCTTTGGGAAGCTGCTGGAAAGAGTAGAAATCGGCCAGAAAGACAGATAACATGCCAGGGGAGTTGGTCTGCGCTGAGAGAACATTTGAGCAGCAAAATGTAATCTCTAGCAAACCAACTTCCCTGGAATGTTATCTGGCCAATTTCTACTTTATCTAGCCACTTCAAATTCCCAAAGCCTGGCAGAGGCTAGGCAATGGTGTCAATTCATGGAAAACTATGAAAGGTAAAGAAGGTAATGTCTTTGAGATACCCACCTCCTTCTGTGCCCCCACCCGCACAGTGTCTCTCTTTCTTCTCTGTCGATCATGTATGTGTCGGAATGTGTTGGTGTGATCGGTCTCAATTCCTTCTGGTCGGAAAATCTTAAATGAAAATAACACGAACATATAAGAGTACTGCGAGCAATGTTTTGACAGAAATACCAGTAATTATTTTTCTATAGTACATGACTTGTACAAGGGCAGGTTAATGAAAATTTCTCCTGATCTACTGGTTACTGTACAGGAGGCTGAGTTTCAACCTGTGCTGTACATGTATCTCTGTAAGTCACATGTAGATCATCATCATCATTCTGTTTTTTATCAAACTTCTAAAAGTTACAGTTACATGTAGGTTATGTATATGTGGTTGTTTTCATCTCTGAACTTTCTTAACCTGCCATTGTACAGTCTAACATCTTCAATTCAGCAAGGTCAAGTTTCTACAGGCTGTACTTTTGACAAGATTAGACAGATGGTCCAACACAAAAAGGGGTCAAACATACAAATATAAAGGAAACGTTTGTGTGTTGAATTAGTACCGCTGAGTTAATGTTGGACAAGTGGCCCTGACATGTGTCCTTCAGAACAACAACAAACCAAACATCCTGGGAGGAATTGTGTAATTAGTTAGATAAATATAAAGTACAGATGTTAACTTCACAGGCAATGCAATGAGAAAAATTGATATATTTAGCAACTCGTTCATCCTTCCTAGCCTAAACCAGTAAGATATGTCAATGTCTAATAAGACTAAATTCATCTTTTGCACCCAAGTAGTATATATTACATGTATATACATGTAATACTGTTCCACATATAATTAGCTCATACCACTTTCACTGACTTGAATTTTATATGTCTGGCCAATCTACTAGTAATTTGGTCCTTCTCAGACTTGAAACAATAATGCTAAACTTAAAAACACAACATGAATACAGAGTCTTCGGAAAAGGCTCAGATTCAAGTTTTCCAGTTAGTCTGCAGGTTTTTTCTCACCTGTAGTCCCACCTCCTCCATACGTTTGTACAGCTCATCATCCTCTCGGCCCCAACCCCAGAACATGTTAGACAGGCCGTTCACCTGGAAAGGACAAGTTATTTCATATGTGAAGAACATTGAACAGGTCTTATTTAGTTGTGTGGGTTGAATCATATTCCTTATTGAACAACAAACCATTACTTCTTAGTTAACTTAACCAGACTGTAACTTACAGTAAATAATACAGCACAAATTGCCCTGTTTTGTACTTGCACAAACATGGGTTATCTTTACAAGTTTGGGGCCAACACCAAATGAGTAATCCTTGGTAATGTATAATATGATGAACAAATAGTCCAACGTAAACTTATGAGGCTAGTACTACCTGGGCTATGGAGGTACTATAAATCTAGATTTTTCTTACGGTACTTTTATATTTGTTGTTTTCTATACTGCAACCTTATCATTACTGTGAACAAATAATTCACCGACTGTCTTTTCACTGTACCTGCCCTCTTCATGAACGAATTATAGTGCCGCAAACATTTTTCTCAGAATGTGAACTTCTGCTATCGCAAACATAAAGTGATTTACAGTACTTGCTAACTTCACCATCTCACCTGTTCAAAGTGTTCTCTCTTCATGAGAAGGATTCCGCCCACAAATTTCTTGTAGTGGTACAGCGGGTGGAGTTCAGGGGAGGAGACGTGGAAGGGGCCATCCTCGGGGTACCCGTAGTTCAGGTCAGGGTTCATAGGTAAGAGGTCAACATCATGCATGGCCATGTAGTCACACCCTTCATCTCTACCCGTGATGAAACCGATGTTGATGAGCGCAGCTCTGTTGAATCTACAGATACCAAAAGCATCAGTTTACACTTGGATCACAGTACTGTATACTTGGCACTGCTCCTGAGGCATTGCCAAAAAGGGTAAAAGTCAGCAAGTAACAAAAACAAGTAAGGGGAGCTTATTCTCTACCCTTAATGCATCTTTTGAGATCAAGGGTAATTTTTTTTAAATGGTATAAAGGATATGGAAAATTTTACCTGTGCAGGTCAATCTGGTTGATAACATAGATTTTGTGGCGGACTTTCTGTGCGTTGAGAAACTTGTGAATGTGAGGAACGAACACGAGAAGTTCTTCGAAACGATCCCGAAACGGAACGACGACTGCAAGTTTGTGCGGCCCCCAGTTTTCGTTGTCCCCGTCGTCAAGGACTACTTTGTCGTCTTCTTTTACCCGCGGAACTTGTGGCGGTTTCTGGACGTCCATGTTTGGGGGTGCGACGGCGTTCTCGTCATTGACGCTATGAGAACAGCGACAGTTGGCAGCGGAGTAGTGCAGCCACATGCCCATGATGGTCGTCATGGTGAGGCAGATGATGAGCAGCTTCAGGTACGAGATCCGGCGCCGCATCACCATCTTGGATTTACTAAAGTCTTCTCGTTACCATATCCATTATCAGACACAACTCTGTGGGGAGACCTTCGGGAGAGGGTATAGGATGTTTTCCTAGAGGGTAAGAGAAATAACAATGTATTTCACATTCAGTATCAATCATGGCAATTGTGCGAGTGTGCATTTTGTGTGGATGTGTGTTAGGTGTGTGTTTGATGTCTTTCACTAGTAGGCACCTTTAGACATACTAGTAACACATCAGCTTTGTATTGTACATTGTAGGACTGTGTTGTGTAAGGTTTGAAGTTGAACCACTACTGATCAGACCAGGAAGGGCCCCTAGTCCCTACTCTTCTCTTTTCTTATTATAATATATACTTACGCTTATTATAATATATACATGTCAATACTAATATAGATTGATATGATCTTGACCTTTCAAACTTGTAACATGCGTAACTGAGAATAAGACGAACATGAACAGATATCAATTATGTAAATTAAGTCATAATTAGCATAATTAATGTTGAGGTCGTGGAACTCTTTTCTCACATTTTCTCGACTAGTTTTAAACAAAAGATCTTTAAACCCGATGGCCCATGAATAAAAACCGCTTGCCACGCCGACAAACGCTGTCTGGCGTTCAGAAAATTAGCATAATTAACTCTTTTCTCACATTTTCTCGACTAGTTTTAAACAAAAGATCTTTAAACCCGATGGCCCATGAATAAAAACCGCTTGCCACGCCGACAAACGCTGTCTGGCGTTCAGAAAATTACTAGACAAAACAGAATGTTTTAGACAAAACAGAATGTTCCACCACGCACCCCCCACCCCCACCACTAAATGTGTGAGGCATTAGTATCGACGGCGGGTCTTGTAGGAAATCGCCACAGTTTGCAGTTCCTTTGTACTAGTCAATGTAGCATTAAGAAGAACAGAAAAGTAACAACAGTCAGCATATCAGAAGTTAAGTATCACAATATGTTTATGAAATACCTGGCGAGCCGGTGAGTTGTCAGTGTTTGGAGAGAGTCAACCCGGAAGTGTTTGATGGTAAATTTAGGTGCCCGTCACATTTTCAGAGGTGCCTGCAAAGACCCGTAACGGTGCCTGGCGATGTTTTACATCTAACGTTACCATCATACAGTTCAGGTACCAAGTGAAACACAACACATAGAGACCAGTTGTAGCGTAATAATATACGTAAAATAAGGGTCAACAACAAAATTCTCAACCTCATACGACATACCTCCATGGAATATTTACAGCTTTTGTAAATGTTTGTTTTGCTTAATTTCTTAATTATGACTAAGTTAATTATAGATATTGGAAACAAGGGCAGATATTAAGTATGCAAATGAATACCTAATCTTGATTATCTCAACTTTTAGAACGTATCCAATATCAATGTGCACTCACTGTAACAGGTGCTTTTAAAGGATCATCCTAACTCGAAAAGAACTCGGTTGGGAGCTACTATCAGACAGCAGACATATCCTGTGTAATTTTAGATGGTGCACGGTGAAACTAGCAGTTATTTGTCCGAGCTAACCCCTTCAAATAATTCAACGACATATAACCTTCGGAACAAAATTAATTCACATGTAAATTCTCTGACTGTTTCAACAAAACGTTTTGCGACGTTTCAGTTTTGTTCTTTACTATGTAACTTTGAATTATTGGAACAATTTAGACCTGACAACACGCAGTTATAGCTAGTATATGTTTAGCATGTACTTGTTAAAATCTGTGCACCCTGTAGCCGTGGCGACTATTGATTCGGGCTTACATTGCATTACCCTCAGCAATAGTCGTGGAAAGATCCATTGGCAGAACTGCACATTTCCCGTTGGCTGCTCGATGCTCCGTTTTTGACCCGGTTTTTTGCTGTCCCGAGCTTCCCTACAATATAACTCCACAATTGGCCGGGTTGCCGATGTTTAGATCAGCCTAAATATTCCACAGCGCGACAGAAAAGTAGTAAAATAGCTAGTCGGCACAAGCTGGCGCCATCTTGGATATAGTCGGGAATGTCCGCTACCGCCGTCGGGAACGCTCGGTAGCGTCACGATTACCGAAGCCCGT